ATATATTAAGAGTATTATGTATTGTATGTAAATACATTTTGTTATTCCCCATTTAATTAAAATATCAACAGCTTGCTATATCTTACGCACTGGATATCTCATTTACGAATATATGCTTTGAAATGTAAAAAATATTGTCTTCGAGTACTAAGCGTTCTTGTATTTTCATCTTTATTATTATCCTCAGTACTTAGATATAACATAATCATTTGCGCTAAACAAACATGAACTAGTTATTTTCTAAGGTCCAGGGTGACGGGATGAATGATGGTTGTCTTTACAGTACCTTTGTTAAGTACGTGATGGTCCTTTACGACATGCACAGAAGTCATATTTTTTAAGGGACAGAACAATCTTGTAAAAAAAGCATCTTGTAGATGACCATTCATCGTTCTTCGCTGCTTGCACAATTATGAAGGACATCTGAACGATGGCGAAATGTCTGAATAAAGCAGTAATAATAATAATAATAATAATAAAAAACAGCAATAATAATAATTTAATCATCTGTTAACGTATTGCTATACAAAAATGTATTGAACTTGTACTGATTTTAGAAAACGGGAACAAAGCAAACAATTGTAAGGTAAAGTAATTTTCTTTTGGAGTTTAGAAAACAAGAAATATGGACGGGTATGCCTTTCTGTAAAGTTTGCGATTTAAGTATTTGATTAAATAACGCTACAGTGTGCCTATTTGACACACCATTTTTTCGCGCAAGTATTTATTTGACTTCCATTAATAGTGTCTTATGTTTGTTGGTTTGTTTCATTTTACGCCTTTTCCCAACAGTATTTCAGTCATATAGGCGGGTAGTTTCCTAACCATTGTTCCAAATAGTGTCTTAATATTAAGATACAAGTTTAAGTCTTAAATTGTTTTTTAATCTTGTATTGTAAAAGCCGGAATAACGGCATAATTTAACTCACATTTAAGTTTGGTATTTGCACCAGGTTTCTATTATTATAAGAAAAAGCGACATGGTGTTGCAATTTTCTTAATGTATTTATATTTTAACAAAGACGTGAATTGTGTAATATCAATGTTACAAAATATTCAGTTATAATAGCATGTTAATTCCTTAAGTAATATGTTTACGGTCAATGTATAAAAACAATCCCCTTGAATGACATTATTGCGTAACTAATGATGGTTACAGTTACAGTAAACTGTACTGCATAATTATTCTTTGATCGTTTAACAGAAATACGTGATAATGCGGTAAAGAAATCATCATATCATCGTGTTAATAGACAAATTTTGAATTGTTTAATTCTGCATATTTTGATTTAATAAATTACATTGACATGTGGTCACAGACTCGCTTATATTCGCTAAATGAGTTCTTCATGTCACGGACGTAGCTCTGCATTCATTTTCTATCATCCTTATTTGTGTTTAATAAAGACAAATGTTGTAGAATAAACTAGTGAAAGAATTTTCCCCTGGTTTCAAGTACTGTCAGTGCTTTGCTTTTGTATGATTTCTTGTTAATACATGTATAATATACAATTCAGTTTCATTCAAAATAATTTACTTTTTTTAAAAAGAAAAGTCCATGCCTAGTAATAATACTGGTTTATGTTTACAAATGTACATGACATTTTAATCAGTTTAAAGCCGGACGTAAACCAACTTTAAGTGTACAGTTACAATCGTAAAAATACGTGAAACCCGTGCTTCTTTACCCACTTGCTTTCAACAGTGCATCAGGACATGGCTTAAAATTTAGCTGTAAATAGTTTTGCACTATGTCACGTGGTCGGACAATTGAAAATAAGGGCATGCATAAGCTAATAACTTGAGTGACAAGAAGCCGGAAAGATCAGTCATAGCATCCTTATGAGACTTGATAGAAGAACACCGTGAATGGCTAGGGTATGTCAAATCTTCTTGACTTTTAACAATTATTAATGATTCGTAAATTCTTCAAAGCTCAGTTTTAACAAATAATAACAATACATAAAAACTACCACGTTCAAGGAAGCAGGAGTTAAAATGAAATCAGTAACGACGGGCGTCCGTGGCCGGGTTGTTGAAAGCTGTTGACTTCAAACCACTTTCCCTTTGCCGCTGTAAGTTAGAATACCCACATACTTTGCATTCTTTCATGTGAGGAAGCTATCCAGCTTGTATGTGTTACGTCGTAGATTTTATTCAGGTGCTCGTTCTTGCCTGAAATAATAATGGCACCTTATGTCTTTTCCACCAGTAAAGCTGAAATGTTGCCATATTGCCTATACTGTGTTAGTGCGACGTAAAACCCAATAAACGCGTTTTGGATTACACCATTGGTTATAGTTTTAATAGCAGACATAAATTTACAGCTCATGTCCCGAGCTAAATAAAATAACAAATTTGAGGTGGCGAAAATGGTGAACTGTCAGCATTTTGATTCAAATGGTTCCATAGAAAATGCTCAGGAAAGAATGCATAGACACATTTTAACATTGATAACTGGACGAACGCTTTTATAAACATGGGCCCAAAAATTAGCTGTTTCTTTATCACCAAACAGCTTCCAGAATAAGTTTGCAAATCCGCAAACTAAGGTGTTTTTCCACCAGTAAAACTGAAATGTTGCCATATGGCCTATACTGTGTTGGTGCGACGTAAACCCCAATTAACGAGTCTTGGATTCCGCTATTGGTTATGGTTTAAATGGCAGACATAAATTTAGAGCTCATGTCCCAAGCTAAATAAAACCACAAATTGATCGTGGCGAGAATGGGGAACTGTCAGCATTTTGATTCAAAAGGTCACACAAAAATACCCCAAAAATAATGTAAAGACACATTTTAACTTAACATTGATAACTGGACGAACGCTTTTATAAACATAGGCCGAAATTTAAGCTGTTTTTTTATTAAAGGTTTTTATAATAATAATAATAGTGATAATGATGATGATGATGATGATATAGCTCCAAAATGACTTCATTGAAGAAATGTGTACACATAATTATGACATATTTCTTTTTTGAGCGAATAGCCCATACAGAATATGATTCTTAAAACAGTTATAAGCTTGCTTAAATTTGCAGTATAAACAATAAGCTCATCTCCTTCATAAAGTATGGTCAGGGAATCGCTTGCTACAAACGGCCTCTGTTCTTTATAGTGAGGCGTCCCTGACCAGGGTCTTTGACAGTCATTTCAGTTCGTTAAATTGTTTCAATTATTCCAAAACTGCTTTTCTTTTTTTCTTTTATTGCAACACGAATATTTCAAATTTACACCAAAACACACCATATTCAATCTACTTAAATACTCAATTAGTGATCTTCAGAGAAACATTACCGAATTGACAAACGTTAAATGCCTGAAGCTTGGAATATGAAACCAGAACAAAATGGCTATCAGATAAAAAATATAAAACATGCATATTTGTGAGTAAATATAAGACAATTCTCAAAAGGCTTCAGTTTTATTCACTGATAAAGAGAAGAAAACTTAATTGATACGCGTAGCAGGTCCGAATAAACGTACTGTTTTTATTTTTTTCTAGAAAGTATATATGTAGAAGGCATTTACTAAGTGCCAGAAAAACAGACTCGCCTTTTCACAGAACTAAACATGGCACGTCATTTCCAACTACTTAAAGCCCGTGCTTTTGGGATGTGATAAGATTTAAATTTGAAACAGTATTTCAAAGATATATAAACAAATAAACAAATTTGGATTTGTTGCTACAGCGCAGTTTATATTTTACATGCATCTATTTCTTCGGAATATCTCAGCCAATAATTTCAGGTAAAATAGTGAAATGTTAAATGTTTTGATCGTTGTACACACAAACCCTTATATTATAGCCTTGTTCATTTGTTACACAAATCTGCTGCTCTGCACATGAGTAACGGAATGTGAATAGTACGAAAACACGAAGGGACAATGGTGAAAACGTGATAATTATCGGCTAAATTTACATCATAATTTTCATAATAGTTTTTGCGCGTTTTCGTTATCGTACTTTCGCATTCGCGTTTTCGTTCCTTTTTGTTTTCGTCTTTGTCCCTTCGTGTTTCCGTCTATGTCCTTTCGTGTTTTCGACTTTTGATCTTTCAACTTTCTTCATTCATAGATGATAGCCCTTACAGAACACCCTAGATATCAGTTTCAAAACTGTACGACACAAACCTTCTACAGGCCTCGACTGCATAATTGTATTTTAATTCATACACGATATCTATGCAAATGATAAAAGAGGCTATTGTCTATTCAGTGTTTACAAATACGGGTATTAAATTTCATTTTATTTAAAACATTATAGACCCGAGTTGTAACTGTGTGTCTTTTTAAATGTGATTATAAAATGTACATTAGGATACATGACCATTGTTTGAGAGTAACTTTGGAAGAGAGAGGGCGATAAAATGTAATCAAGCGGATAGAGGAGAGATAATAAAACGTGTGTTTAATTACATACTTGTACAATAGCTACAGTACCGTGCTAAAGGAATTAGTGAGGTAAGAGTTCTTAATGAATTTTACTTAAATAAATTAGCATCCTGTTACACGTTGGTAAGATCATCGCTAAAGATGTGACAAATCCGGTTTCGAATCTCGGTCCAAGCATTTAAAAAAATTGGATGGTTAAAATGTTTTATATTTTTGTTAATATATCTGTGAAGATCATGTTTTTATTTACTTGTAAGTCTTACAAGATGCCCTACATAAAGGCACTGAGTTAAGTTGTTATAATAGATGGGCTACTGTTGATTAGGTGAATAGGGAGTACATTTTCACGCATTACTGCTTACTGAAGATGGAAAAATGAGAAAAGAAATTATCTCTTATATATTAAAATACAAATTTGTGTTTTGTGGGTAGATTTATATATGCTGTTTTTTAATCAAAAGAAAGATTTACTTTTGATATTTTCTAAACTTCCTGGTTTGACTTAAACGTTTTAAGTCATGCGTAAATCGTGAGTTAAGATAATGTTATAACGGAGCATTTTCTATATATTTTACTATTTATATATCTATATGCAATATTTAGATGTAGGACTTGAACGATTGACGAACAGGCAGAACATTATTCAACAATGATTTTGGCACTAGGACTTTCAGTTATTCTGTTAAGACGTAAGTATCTATGTTATTTACATTAAAAATAAATCTTTTATATCAAATTGTTTATTTACATCTTATTGATTACATGATAAAAATGAAGATTACTTTAAAGTGGTATTTCCAAATTGACCGTATTGAAAAAAAATGATCGAATTATTATGTTTATCATAGAGAATGGTTTTTTTTATATACAACTGTGAAGTATTTCATGATAATTATTTAAATTTTGCTAAATAACTATATCAACAATGTCGTTTATGATACATATAACTTTGTAAATGAAGCATTTTTAGCTCACATGTCACAAAGTGACATGGTGAGCTTTTGTGATCGTTTTCCGTCCATCGTCCGTCCGTAAACCTTTACTTGAAACGACATCTCCTCATAAAGTGCTGAGCCAATTTCATCCAAACTCCACTCGAATGTTCCTTTGGTAGTCAACTTTAAAAGCTGTTCAAAGAATTTAATTCCAAGCAGAACTCTGGTTGCCAAGGGAAAATTTAAAATATCTTCTTTCAGAAAACCGTAAGAGTAAGAGCATAAATATTTGGCATGAAACATCAGCTTGTCAGTGTCTACCAAGTTTGTTCAAATAAATGCCGTTGGGTCAAAATTGGCCCCGCCCTGGTGGTCATTGATTTTCCTTAATTGTATGTAGTAACATTTTCTTTTAAAAACCCCAAATAGCTAGAGCTTAGATATTAAGTAGGGGGGTCTATCCAGTGTGTTCAAATAAAAGTCCTGGGGTTAAAATTGGTCCCGCCCCAGGGGTCATTGATCTTCCTTATATGTTAAAAGTAAAATCTTAAGAAATATTCTTTTAAAAAATCCAAATTAGGTAGAGCTTAGATATTAAACAGCAGAAAACATTTTCTAATTGGTGTCTACGAAGTGTGTTCAAATAAAAGCCCAGGGGTAAAAATTGGCCCCGTCCCAGGGGGTCATTGTTTTTTCCTAAGTGCTAGAGCTAAGGCAGGGCCTATATACAGGCGAGCGATTTCAGGGCCATTATGGCCATTATTAATTTCAACATTTACATGATAACAGGAAATAATGATAACAAGGATCATATCAGTTCAAAATAGTGTTGATTTATTTCGCCTCATTCACATCTACTTACAAAAATGTTATCGTTTCCGTTTACCTTATGGTGATTTTAAATACAGTTATACATTTTCAGACATAACAGAAGCAGAAAATATTACCTGCAACACTTTATGCATACGTGGTCCCTATAATGCAACAGAGACGTGTAACACAACTACTGGTGAATGTTTATATGGCTGTACCGTTGGGTTCGCTGGACCAAATTGCTCATACATGTCATATAAATGCCCAGATTCATGTTTACACCCAACAGATAATGAAACTGGGACATGTGACCATATATCTAGGGATTGTTTACACGGCTGCAAAGAAGGCTTTGCAGGACCAAACTGCTCGATTACATGTCCAGATAATTGTTTATCAAATGAAAGAGGCATGGATATATGTAATGAAACTACAGAGCAGTGTTTATTTGGTTGTAAAGATGGATTTTATGGCTCAAATTGCACAGGAAAGTGTTCTGATGTAGATACATTATGTGAAAAATGTAGTGCAAGCGATGGTGATATGTAAGTTTATATTCTAATAGAAATCGTTCACTTAAGCATCATCATTTTATTCTTCATGACTAAACTCGAATATCTAAGAACAGTGTATTTTTTTTTTAAAATTTATATTTCATTTGAAATAACCTTTAACGTTAAATATATGACTTTTTATTACAGTCGCCTATTTGAAAGCATTGATTCTGTCCATATCATTCTATCATACATACGTTTTTGTGACATATTGAAGGAAAAAAAGTGAAACTAACTTGAAATATGTGCCTTAAGCTTTGTCATTTAAAGAAAATATCAATGCAAGTTTAAACGTTTTATAGTTAAGAATTAGAGATTTGTTAGTCGATATATCTATAATAAATATATATAGCGAGTAACCATTTATTTTTACCTATGAACCTTTGTCAAAAAAAAAGTATACCAATGCTAAAATACTATTTTTACATATATTTTAATTCAATTAAATCATTACACATAATCGTGTAAATATCGACCATAATCGTAAATCATGAACATTATCATAAATCATACACTTTATACATGTTCAAGTTAATAACAAAACATGCGATGTAATTACTATGTAGTTTTAAGTTTGAGTTGATGAGGTACCTCAAACAACAATGCATATAGATTACTTGTTAGAGTTAAACCGTAGTGTCATATGTTGCAGCGTTATTGAATGCAAGAAATGTATCAGGAACTTTTATCTGTCAGCTGGAAAATGTCGAGCTTGTAACTACTGGTGTGTTTATTCATATATAAGAAATGAGCAGCGATGTAGACATGAGGATGGTTATTGTAATCATGGTTGTAGACCAGGACGTTATGGTTTCATGTGTAATAATCGCTGCAGAGCTACGTGTAAAGATGAGTGTCACAGGGAGACTGGTAAATTATGTGATTCTTTGCAATATAACGTATTTTGTTTTTAAACAAATGTTCTTGATATGTATTAGCATTTAGTAACAGCAGACAACAATAAACATCATAACGGTTTTGTGAATAGTAAATTGAGATAGTTGTTTCCGCTGATATGAGTACTATATGAGAAAAATCACTGTCATCTTTAATTTTTAAACACATGCAGTTATTTGGAAAGTTTTATTTTTGAATTAGCTTCTAAGCAGCCGGGTCATTATGATTTTGAGTCAGACGCATGATTTACTGCGGAATGATACGATTTATTTTGCGAGTCGTCAATAAAAATACAAGTACTTAAAAGAATTCACGTATACCAGCTTTATAGTTCAGGACCTATTTTAAATTAATTTGCTTAATGAAAACATTTGTATTTACATTTTCGTCAAATCAAAAGACAATGTTGCGATCGTTTTGAAGAAATTTGAAAATATTTATCTTTTAAGTTTTGTTTTTTCTTTTTAAGATGATTAAAAAAGTGTGGGTATTGTCCTGACTTCAAAAGCTTTGATAGCCGCCCTTTATGTATTTAAGTTAGGTCTCACATGGGTTAGATTTTTACGGGTCTTATGCATCTAATGTCTACTACATAAATGCTCATATATTAAAACGTTTATGTATCGTTGAAATGGGATATAAAGTATTAAGGTAAACCATTACGAGCGAGATGGCACTGTCTGTATATAATTAAGACTATAAGAATATAACATTGTACACATTTTTTAAAATATGTTTATGATACACGTTTTTTGTCAACTTAGAAAATGGGAGTAAATCATTTGACATACAAAGTATCATCATTAAAATTCAAAGCAAACGAAAAAGAAGTGTATTTGATTGATACTGACAAAGAAATTCTGATGTAAATTTTTCCCCCGCAAATGCTTATTTAGTCATTTAGATGTTTTAGTAAAATAATAAGTCTATTTGATTCGGGTACCAGCAGTCAGGGCTGTTTTCAAGGGATATTAATATGAAAACAATTCATTTGTGCAAATTGTTGTATCACATGTGTTTTTTGGGTATTTAATTTAGTTGTTATATTAGGATGTACATGTACTTTGATAACTATAAATTCTAAAATATACTTTTGTGAACTATCAAATAAGGTATATATTGTATATGTAATAGTTCATATATTAAAATGATATACAAATTAAGTGCAAGGGACCGCTGCACTTAATTTGTATATTATTCTAACATGTTATCTATAACCGACTTCAGTTCACTTGTCCCATTTCGGCGACCTTTTACTGTAACTTACACGACGCCCATAATAGGATATTGGCAGCCGTGAAGATTTAGAGCGACGAAGTAAAAGTGTGACTATCGGCCAAAACCTACTAATACCCAAATGGATTATTATTTTTACTAAACAGAAAGAACAGCCTTGTATGTATAATTTGCCGAAACCAGGAAAAGAGAAAAATGTAGTAGTGCAGGTAGCACACTAGATACTATTTTTGATGCGTGTACAATAGAAAAATACAGAAAAAGAAGAAAAGGGTAAACAGGATAGTGAAGATGACACATTTATGCAAAAAAACGGTTACGCAACAACTTAATAAAATTGACAAACAGTTCAAAGATATAAACTTAAAACTTTCAAAAGTGTACAAAAAAGATGACGATGGCTTCAGAGATATTATAAAAAAAAACAGTTGAAAGAAATGAATAAATGAAAGAAAATGTTATCATCTGTTTGTAACAGGATCGACATTTTTTGAAGGAAAATTATTTGAAAAGGAAACTGAAAATAAAATCTTAAAACAAAAGGTTAAAGAGCTTGTAAAAGCACTAGGAAAAAATAAAAATGATAAGCTTGTCGAAGAAATACACGTAAACGGAAGACAAACAAAATGAAGAATTAATGATCTCGAACAGTATAGTCAACCTTAGATTTGACGGCATTGAATAAACAATCAATGAAGAGCAACATCAAACAGAGAGAAAGGTTTAAAATACCTTAAATTTGTACATGTCTTAATTGAAGCTAGAAAAAGATGACATAAAAGTGGGTCAGCGCTTACGCAAACAAGATGACAAGAAGCCAAGAAAAATAATTGTTCAATTCTGCTCACGGGGCACAAAGGTAGAGATAACAAAAATCAGAAACTAACTAAGGGTTCACATGAAGACTTTTCAGGTTTTAATCAACATTTTTTTTACATGTATTAGGAAAAAACTGTCGGGTGAAGTGGAAAGTGTGTGGACTAGAAATGGTAATATTTTCTACAGAAATACATTTGCCATCAACAACATCAGCCCAACTCAAACGTAAAGTAACTCACAATGCATGGTGAAATCCACATCAATGATCAGTATAGGTAATACAAACAATTTACAGTGAAGATGTCAAGCCGATTTTTTTATTAAAGTTGTGGCTAGTTAAAAGTGCAAAAACCTTGTAAACAATTATATTTTAAACTTGTCAAGCATTGGACTTTTGTTTCTGTTTTAAATGGTTCTACCTTTCTCTATATTTGTCTGCTTTATCTTAACCTTCACTAAAAACAGTACAGTTCATTTAATATGAAAATCCAAAAAAAAAACAGTCTATTTAAATTACTATATAAATACTGTTTCTCATAAAATCAGAATGTGATCTACATTTATAAACACACGGCAAATAATTGATTAAACAATATATAAAGCATAATAATAAATATTTTTTTTTGTTAATTTTTTCCCTTCGAAATCTATTATATTATAAAAGATTGGTATGACTATAAAATCATCATTGTTATTGTAGAATTCTGTCATGTGCAGGTTGCTTTTGTCATAGTTGTTAACTGATACACATATATTGAATTAACAATATAATGAATAATGTATATTTTTCCTTGTTTTAATTATTTTTTTACACTTATCTTTTCGAAGCCTGTTATCTAATGAAAGTAGATTGGTATGATTATAATGTTATCATTGTTGTTGTAGAATTGTATTATGTACAGGTGTTCTTTTTGCATGGCTGTTTAAATGTTACGAATATATTGATTTCGAAACATAAAGAATAATTGTGAATGGGGACTTTTTTTGTCTGTTTAATCTAGATTTTACATTTATTAATTCGAACTTGTTATACAATGATTATCGTATTACTGATGGTACCCGGCAGGTATGTGTGCTGCTTATGTGTGTGTGTGTGTTATATTCGAAATATTTCCAGATATAAATATTGTTGGTGTTTATGAATTGAAAAGTGTGAATGTATGCGGATGTGTGTTTGTTTGTGAAACATCCAAACAACTTTTTATGACCAAGTGTTTGTATTGTTTGCAATGTAGTTATCTCATAGGTTTGTAAACCTTCTTACTAGTACTGTATGATCACAGAGAAAATAATAAATTATATATAGATAAAAAAGTCTAAACGACTGTTCGTGCAACAGGCCATGTAATACATAGATATTGAAAATTACGGGCTATAACTAAGTTATGATATTATAAAATATTTAACCTTTTCCCTTATATAAGCGTGTTTCGACGGCTTTTTGCCCCCCCTTTTGAGGCCTCAAACAGTGAAAAAATGTCCTATTTAGACCCCAAACACTGTTTTTCGTTTGAGAAATGTTGTTAAAAAAAGTGACCATTTTTTCGGCGCCGTCCCCCATCCAAATAATACATCAGGGGGTTTGCCAGAAGGGGAATGTGCCCCTTCTTTTTGGGGGGTTTGAAGGGGGGCGGAGTCCCCCTCATCGCCAAAAAATTTGGACTTGTGAGAGGCTTAAAATGACCCAGGTTGATCATAAAGTAACGTGTAACCAACGCTGAAAAGCCTTTGACTCTATCTCAATCCATTGAGAAGTTGCAGCACTTTGAAATAAATTTTGATGGAAAAAATCGAGGCAAAATAGTGATTTTTGGCAATTTTGAGATGTCCCCTCGTTGCCATGGTAACAGGAAATTTAAGACTGAGCATGTCGTTACAAAGGCAATGGTCCAGTCAACATTTGTGCCAAGTTTGATTAGTATTGAAGCATTTTTCATAGTTTCATAGCAGTTTGAACTTGTTAGAGGAGGCTTTTCAGTTAAAATGGCCATTTTTCACGATATGCTCATGGGGGAAAGGGTTAATTGATTTTAACATTTGATAAGTCGATGAGCATTTAATAATAAATGCACGTTTTTTATATATTTTGACAACTATCATGATACCCCCACTATAAAATATCAAAGAAAATTTACACATATATGTTAAATGCCAATCAAACATTAAAATCGATATTGACTTGGTTTGTTGTTTTAACAAAATAGCAACAGTTTTGTGAAGCTTATCAGGGATGAACCTTTCCGTAATTTGGTAAGAAAACGAGACATATATTCTCGATTCAAAGACTTGCTTTCAGCTATCAAAGTAAGATGTGTGATTTTACCAGTTTTGATTTAATATTAAACAATAATATTCAGATGCTTTGAATACGAAAAATTATAATTTAAAGTTACTGATAATCGAGTATTCAAGCGAAATCTTTTACTTCTGTTTGTTTAGGCTTTTTGATAATTTTGTTAAGTTTAACAAAGTTGACTTGCAGAAGTTGATTGTAATACTGTCTGAATTGTATGAAAATAATTATGTGAAAAACAAAGATATTCTTTTTCCCCAACTCTTTCAATGAACGACAACATCATATTTTACAGTGTATATATTTAAGAACAAATATTTGATTAGTTATTGTGCAACATCTCTCACGCCTCCTTGCAAAAAAATTTATTGTCAGAGGAGTGTTTTAACAGTTTAATATTTAATTTAATTATATATGGTACAAATATTAAGTCAAATTTCGTTTCGTTTTACTATTTAACATTCATTCAATATACTTAAATAAGTTTTGTTTATTATAACATACACACATTTCTTTCGATCTTAAAGGAATGTGTTTTGACTGTGGAGAATCAAGTTATTGTGGGCCAACTTGTCAACTAGTATGTCAAGATGGTTGCTTACGTCAACAATGTAATCAATCTTGTGAATGTGTAAATGGGTGTACTGCTACACATTGGGGAGAAAAATGTCAGACCGTATGCAATTCAAACTGTATCAAACCAGCTGATCCATTAGAAAGAGTTTGCAACTCGTTGAATGGGACATGTTTATCAGGATGTGACGGAGAACGATTCTGGAAGAATCAGTGTAGTGAACCATGTTCTAATAACTGTGTAAACGGCACCTGTGAGCATTACACAGGTAATTGTAAATATGGTTGCACGAGTGACAGAGTCTATGGTGGGCGATGTGATACGCTGTGTAACAAAAACTGCGATGCTGGTACTTGCAAAAGAGAGGATGGATATTGTGATAAAGGTTGTACTGGTTTTTTAAGGTTGGGGTTTAGTCATTCCAACCTTTTTATATTTTGATTTTTCAGCTTAATTATTGGTGAGAAACATCAGGTGCTCTGCCGTGCATTGTGTCAGATACGAGCAAGTACCTGAGTAGATCCGTGACATACTGTTAGCTAGATAGATAGATTCCTCAGATAGATTCCTCATATGACAAAATCCAAAGTCCCGGCACGATTTGAAGGCAAAGCATTGTTTGACTTGTGGTTCAAAGGCAGCGACCACTCGATCACTTAGATTTCTTGCTTTATTTGTACTTATGATGTAAAATGTAAAATTACTAGTATGTAAAACTGCAATGGTTAAACATGTAACTGACAAAGTGATTTCTGCCCCAAAGGTTGTAAAGAAGGAAGTTACGGTAACAATCGTGAAAACAACTGCAGTGCCACATGTTTAAACAATAAATGTGAGAGAGCTGACGGCAGCTGCACAGACGGGTGCATTACTGGTTATGAAGGACATAATTGCGACATAGGTAAAATATTTACATTTTAATGAATGATTCTTTCAGGTTATAAATATGAAAGCTCTTTCTGAGAAAAATGTTTACATGAATAATTGTTTACAACATAACACATAAACGTTTCTTCAGTCACTTTTGTATAAGGGTTTCATCTTATATTCAATTACAGAAATACCAATCAACTATTTCATAAGCCAATTAGTCGTGTAGTCAAGTTTGTAAAGTTACATTAAACCTGTGTTTAACACCAGTAAAGTGTAGATTATACACTATTTACTGGTTAGATATCAAAGAAAGTCTGTTAGAAGGATTGACCGCTAAGACCTTACCAAGATCCAAGAAAATCATAAAATATATTTTTTAGAAAAGTAAAAATAATCCAGATTCAAAAAACGTTTTACATGTTATGCGCGATTAAGCATTGATTTAAAATTTGCAGTAATTATCACCATATTTCTACTGCTTGATGAACGCAGTATGGGCTATTTTTGCATATTTTGACCGATATTTGGCTATATAAGTGCATCGTACTTGTAAAAGCCGTTTGCAATTTTCACTACACATTATTTTTATCTTTGAAGTATATTTTCCAAATTTTTGTGAAAATAAGCTTGAATCTGAAGTGCATGTTGCTTAAAATCGGCATAAAAGCCGTAAAATCTAAAACCTTAGATTTGTATCTTTAATTGTCACTACGACACTTTTATAAGCGACGAGTGAAGTTATTGAGTTAAAATTCAAACACGGATCATACCAAACACAATTCGTAAATAAATAAATAAACTGTCATATTTTTTAATTATTAACGTATGATGTTTAACTCATCATATTCATCCATAGCTAGCTATTAATCATCACAAGCATATTTCTTTTAGAAACAAAATCAGTTGACAAATTCTTACTTGGGTTTGCTATCAGCGGATGGGCCTTGTTTGTTACACTTCTGGCGTTTGTGATAACTACAGCTGTAAGAAGAAGGCTTGCGAAGTCTAAGAGTAATACATGTTTTAAATAATATTCAATTTTATTCTCGTGTATTTTCAATTTAAACAAAATATACCCAGCATTTCGACCCATTGTTATTTCAAACAGTTCAGTCGGACTTAAATTTGATGAATGTTTTATTTTATATCTAGATACATGGTTATAATTTATTGTGGAATTATATGTCATACATATAGCTTTTAGCAGATCAATTACCAAAATAAAAATGAAATACAAATACGTAGTAGACATGATGTTTAATTGTTGAGAACCTTAAAAAAAGAGGCAACTTAATAATTTCTTAGAATTTTATAGGAAATGAACAGAATTCAGTAGAGGATACACAAGCTCAAACAATGTAAGATAAGTCCTACAACTATGTATGGCATTTAATGCAATTAATTTGTAATATCTACGTGGAATTTTAGTATAATGTATATTTGTCCTAAATTTGGGCTTCATAAACGTTATGTTCATTAAATTTATAAAATCTACGGAATGAATAATTAAGATATGTGTATGTAAATATAGGATGATAAATTCTGTTGTTTTGTAATATTCTATATGAATAACTTATTCGTTATTAAAAGCTTGGTAAACAAATAAATGTAATAAAGCACATTTGTATGAATAAAGGAATTTTAAAAACATTTACTCATTAGAAAGTTAGAATAAACACATGCATTTTTTCATTTGTCAATAAAATCATTACTGCTTAACGAATTCTATTTTGAATGCTTTTATGCGGTCACCATGTGCAGATAAATTTCCAAAAGGAATATTTGTTTTCCTATCTCTAGAAATCAGCAAGTATACACAACTTTACAGCATGAGCAAGATGAGAATAATGATAAGACAAAGTATGAGGTGCTGAGACTTGGGAGAGGTACAAATTATCAAGACAAATATCTAAAAATAAACACTAGGTCATAGATGTATTTATTAACATTTTTCAAAAAAAAAATATGTAACTGTTTTGAAATCTCAATATGTTACAGTACAAAATCATTGTACCAAGAGGGGTCCAATTAAAAGGTGGAAAAATTTTTAAGGAACTGATAACTTCTATTATATTATATACAAGTACCGCTATTTATTGATTTTGATTAAAATTATATTTTATTGTCCTAAAAGAAACATATACAAATATGTAAAGACAGTTACAATACAATGGTATAACATAATTGGCAAAAGGGTTTGCCCACAAGTTCTCTCAACATTAGCAAAGGGTCTTTCCTTAAAGATGTAACTAAATACTTGTACTGGTTTAAGCAGTAACAGGCTCTTTCTACACATATTTACAAACAAGATGTGGTACTATCAAAGAATATTTCCTTAGTAAATTATTCTTTCAGAGATCTCTCCTGGAGGACAGGCTGATTATGAAAACAGCGGCTTGTAATCAAACATTTAACAGACTGTCTGAGATGAAATGATGTTGCATTTGTAATTACAAAACAGTTCATGTTAAGACTTTTTCCCTGTTCAAGTTTATTTTATTTATCATGACGCTACTTAATGACATAACGAAAATGCCAAATTAAAGCCGTTAAGCTTAAGATACATATAAATAAATACTTCAAAATAAATCAAACTAAGGAAAATCAATGCATAAAGAAGTAAATATAAAAATCTTCTTACTTTACAGAAGACAATTTTCATGTTTAACATTGTCGGTTTTCTTAAGACTGGAATGTGTACGTTGTACTGATTTTTGATCTGCAGTACAGTACAAAGGAAATCCTTTTAAGTTTTGAGGTATTTTTCGTCCATCTTCATATTTAGAATGATAATACATGGCGAGGCAAACTGTAATAAGCTATATTTTCATATCATAATTTATTAGAAATTTGTTTTTTGAGTATAGTCATTGCCATTCTATCTGCACTGTTCTGTTGTGATAAACATATGTGCCATCCTGTTCCCGTTACTTTTTGAACAGGAACCGTTTTAACCAAGGCCGTTTAATAAATATTGGTTGATGCGTAAATGCGTATGTATTGAATATAACTTTGTTTAATGTTATTATTGTCTCAGATTCTGACGTATAGTTTGCAAGACATAAAAAGTTACATTTGAATGTTTAGATTTACATTGTATTTATAGATGTATTCAGATACATTACCAAATTAGCAGGTTGCTTTTAAAAAACAACATTAGATTGTAAGTGATTTCACAGATTGTTATGGTATGTAATACTTTCATTCTCTAAAAATCTAACCTACATGCATCTGATGAACTCGCTGTTTTTGAAGCATAGAATATATAATGCTTTGATCTCGCTACAATACCTATTTGAGTATTATCCTAAATAAGGTTGGGAATATTAGCAATGCACTCGTACACAAATAATATACATCGAATCGATTAGTATAAAACTAAACCTGAATGTAATAATAGAAACTGAGAGGTGTCAAGGGCAATAGACACGAAATTTAGAATGTTGTTTATTGTTAGATATAAAGATAATCTTAATTGTTTGTTTTTCTGTCGATTTTAATACTTGTTTTATCATAAAATGGCGTACGATCAACCAAACTGACTTTCCGGGATATACCAACCGCTTAATATAGCAAAAACTTATTTTTACTTACTTCGACCTATTCATTGCACATAAAAAATAGCATAGATTTAGAAAGAAGCAAATTATGGTTATGTGTCTTTGACGTACTATTTCCTAATCGCAATGATTTATCAATGACAACAGAACATAATTCAGGCAAAAATTATTACAAATTGTACCACATTATAAAACCACATTTGCCTACATGGTAACTGAAATAAACTCCCATTACCATTAGTTTTAACAATAGTTATATGCCCAGATAATTGCCTAGAGCAACACCAGTTCTAAATCTGCAATTATGATGTTTAGAACAATTTGGTTTCCACAAGCACCAAACGTACAAACATATTTCCTTCTTACAGGATTTTAAGAACGATTATTTTGGGAACTACAATAAATAGACTTTTAGCTTTATGCACTTTAATGTAGTTAAAAACATAACAATTTGTAACTGTATATTTTAAATAAAAATATTTTGATCAATATATTGATTTTGTTTTTATTATTGAATAATGTCTCATAGTTGACACACTTGTTTGTTTTGATAAAGATGTGTGCGTGATTCGCTGATGACAAAATATGATTTTGTTCATAATGCAGTGTCTAAAATCTAGAAACGATATATGTCATTTACTTTTATTGTTCTAAAACTGCATTAATAATATTTTGATCATTTTCTTTGACCTCCATCATTATAAAATTATTGTCCTAAAGCATTTGTTTGATTATATAATGTGAAATGCATACATTCTTAAAGCAACACGAAGAAAATCATTATTTTTATGTGCTTTCTTGTTGAGTATTTCAAACCAAAACAAAAACCTACAAACAACACAAAACTTTGCACCACCAGATGGTTTTTCTGCCTTTATTTTAGAATAACACATTTGTCAATCTTTAGACAGTATGTCAATAATAGAAGGTTAAAAGATAAAATGCATTTTGTTTTATCATTAGTAACTGGTGTTTTGCCAAATTCCTGTCGGACAGATAAGTGCATAATTTATTAATGTGTACTTTAAAAGCATTATTCAACGTATTATGTTTGGCAGAGTTTTGTGATATGATTTATTTCTTCCCATAAATCAGCTTCATTCTGAAAAAAGCTGGAATTTCTCCTAAAAGCAGCCCCTAGGGCTTATAAAAGAAAGTACTTTGTAAAATTAGATAAATAATGACGTTGATGCAAACAACCGCTTATTAATAATTCGTTTTCAAAGTGAATGAGCATTAATGTCAATATCACTTTTGTTGAAAAACCTAAAAAATTATGCAAAATGTCGTCAAAGTAAGACTTTCTATGTATGTTTATGTATGATATATACAAGTGTGTCAAATGAACAGATTTGACCATTTATAAAAGATACCCTGCATAAACAAGTTCATTTTAATAGACCGTAATCTTATATGGAAACAGAGACGTGTCTGCGATGTTTGAAAAGTAAGGTCCTTCTTCAATGTAAGAATTGCTGTTTATGCATGTAAAAGACATAAAGAAACGCCTCGATAATATCAACAAATAAAGATCAACAAATTCTGGCGTGAACCAAAGATATATATTTATCAAAGTGCGCATGCGTGAAAATGTTTGTCCAGGAAGTTTGTCAAAACTGATTTTATTTGTAACAAAACAAATATCGACCACATGGCATTTGGTTTTAGGACCTGATAAATAGTGTAATTCTGGACATTAAATAAATGTTGGTGTAAAAGTGGTTTATATTAAGCCATATATACAAAAACACCGTTTTGTATTCGAACCAGACTTAAATGCTTTAACTGCAAACTTTACAGTACTGTTTCCAAAATACCAATGTCTAGAAATATGTACCTTATTAAATAATAAAAGTACAATTATGTCTCTGCGTCATATTTTCTTAATTCCGTAACTAGATTTTAAAAGAATACTAATTAAGATTTATTTCTTAATTTTCTAATCAATCAATGTTCAAACGAAATTCCAATTACTGTGCATTTTAAAAAAGAATGCATATTTTGTAATTTCTTGTTCTGTCGCAACAATCAGTTTTGATAAATGAATATTTTAGAAAACTTCTAAATATCTGCTAACTGACAAGATAAAGTAAAATGGGAGGAACTTGTTTCATTCATTTATTGAATTGTTTTTAATAACCAAACATTAAGGTAACCTTATTTTATTTTTAGTCTTTAAAGGAACATTGTGCCTCATTTTTTTAGAAATGTCAAGCGTGTGTTTAAATAATGTTTAAAGAATAAATTAAGTAGTGCGTGTTAGATGTTTTACTACAGAGAAAAATATTACTCACCATGCACTTATGTGTCGTTAAGGTTGCAAAGTAGTATTTCGACTTCCATACAATGTACTTATTCACAATATTCATTCCAATTGCCATTATAACTAAATATGAAAAAAAAATAGTTCTTATTTATAGCAAACGAGTATGTTTTGGGAAACTGTTACAAGATACAAAAATAAGCAGTCTTTGAGAAATAAAAATAATAGCAATTCTTGGATATAATGGACCTTTAACGAAATTGTTTGTCACAGTGACTAAAACAAGGGGTCATGTCCCATTCTGATCTTCCTGACTTCCTATAGATAGTTTGTTTCTCATAATATTACAGGCAGTCTAGAACAGTGAATTGTCTTTTAGAAGTTGCTTTATATTAAATTGTTATGTAATTTGTCAGTAGTGTAAACTTATTTTAAAACTGATATTTTCCAATTATACTCTATTATTCAGTACTTTAGAAAATTTGATTTGTGCTTCGTTATGATATGATCATCTATTCTAAGACTAAGATATTTATGTACTTTCATCAAATTGATATTATACTGTTTGCCATACTGAGAATATTTTAATTTTGTCGTATTATCATTTATTCAGAAATTTGTATTTGGGTAAAAATAAAATGACAGCAAAATGTTCTTTAATCACATGTTAACTCAAAATGCCAATTATGCATGCATTTATTAAAGTGATAAATTGTCTGAATCTTCAAATATTGCGTTGACATATACCCTGTACGTAATGAACATATTAATGGAATAATTAAAACGTTAAATCCTTAAAAGATTGACAAAAAATTCCATTCCAAGGACTAATAAATAGATGCATTATAGATGTTAATTTACATTTTTACTTAAATACCTTAGAATGTTTGAAAACAAGTGTCGTTATGAATAATTCCAAGTGCTGTGAAACACTAGGTGAGTCTAAAAATATACTTTGATCTGATTAAATTTATTTGGCAGCATTGCACCTTTAAGTTGGAAGATCTTGCAGTGAAGGCTGATTAAGAAAAGAAAAGACAGCTGAACATACATAAGTTCTATAATCTCTTAATACATATATAATCAAAGACTATGTAATTCATGCCAAACAAATCTAATTGAGGACGAATCTCATTTCCTTGTTGTGTGTCCTATTTACAATGGTATTAGAACTGTTGTTTTTGAAAAGTTATTTCAAACAATTCATTAAATACAATGGCGGACAACAAAAAACTAATTTACCTTGTAAACAACAACCAAAATAAAGTTATTTAATTTATTGTACAAGCATATCTATTAAGGAGAGACTTATTATATAATAGATCATGATTAATTATTCATAATTTTGTGTCATATCGTAAAATTGAACTGTCCGTAAATGCATAACATGTATTAATATGAATTTACTATTATGTTAATAACATGTTAAACACTATAACACATGCTCTTTTGTTAATGTGACTTATATGTCCTATAGGCCGGGTGTTCATCTTTGTGTATTTTTGTGTATACGTGTAACACATGTCACTATAACAAATAATTTACTTACTTACTCACTCGCTCACTCGCTCGCTCGCTCGCTCGCTCACTCACTCACTCACTCACTCACTCACTAACTCACTCACTCACTCACTCACTCACCAACTCACTCACTCACTCACTCACTTTTTTAAAGGCTTAATACAAACTTTTGCAAGTATATAGGTATATTCGTAAGTAAGTAAGTAAGCAAGTAAGTAAGTAAGTAAGTGAGTAAGTAAGTAAGGAAGTAAGTAAGGAAGTAAGAAAGTAAGTAAGTAAGTAAGGAAGGAAGGAAGGAAGGAAGTAAGTAAGTATGTCAGTAAGGAAAGAAGGAAGGAAGGAAGGACGAAATAAAGTAAGGAAATAAGTAGGTAATAGGTAGGTAGGCAGGCAGGCAGGCAGGCAAGCAAGCAAGCAAGCAAGCTAGTAAGTAAGTAAGTAAGTAAGTAAGTAAGTAAGTAAGTAAGTAGGTAAGTAGTAGGTAAGTAATTTGTAATTTGGGTACTGAAATAGATAATGTATTTATTTCCATTTTGGTTCTAGATTAAATAAAATTTCTCCTTTATTATCATCATTAGACAAATGATTATTAAATATGCATATTTCTATAAATACCACGACATATATCGAAGATTCGACCTTTTCTATCTCGGCATGTATCACTGTGTATTTTTATGTTGAAAGCAACAGAATCCTGTCTAAAATTCATCGTAAGAGTAGCAACATTATTTGGTCTTAATGCTACATATTGCATATTTTAGGCGCCAAGAACGTAGTTAGATGTGTTATTTGTCTGTATTTCTTACTTAAGTAAGTCTTTATCTGTTTAAACTGTTGACATCAGGCGGATAACGCACATATCTGAAATCAAACCAGCAGTTATGTCAACTATGAGACATTATTAAGAAAATAAGAACAACAATTTGTAAGTAATGTTTCTTCATATAAAGTTACATTTGAAATTTTGATATTTCAGCAAGCTGCACGCCCTTAGATATAACTGAAGTACTGGTAAAATCAGTTTATTTACTACTACTTTACGCACAATCTTTAACTTTCTTATATCAGAATGACTGATGATGTTTATTTTACGACGCTTTAAATGTTTAAATATTGTGATTCAATCGCTTCTCTTTTTTGTCCATTAACATTTCTTTTCTTTGTTGACGAGGTACAGGATTAATTAAGCTCAAACATACAAGTTCCACCATTCTTAGTATATATACATTTACCAACACATATGACTTATGTGGCCAGACTTATCCTTATCACCAATATCAAATGGCTAGTGTTTAATTGTTTAATTTTAAAAGTTATAAATTTGATAAATTCTAGTGACACATGGCGAATGACAGGAATATATGCGTAAGAGTTTGCCATGTCACGGATATAGCTCTTCATTTGTATCATCCATGTTAGTGTTCAATTAAGACAAATGTTGTAGAATAAACAAGTTAACCCCCCCCCCCCGGTTTCTGGTACTTTAGGTGCTTTGATTTTGTATCGATTTCTTGTAAGTATAATATACAATTTAGTTTCATTCAAAATAAGTTATTTTATTTTCGAGAATGAAAAGTCCGTGCCTAGTAACAATACTGATATGCATGTCAGTTTAATTCATTTAAAGCCGAACGTAAACCAAGCTGTATGAGAACAGTTACACTCGTACAAAAACGTGAAACCCGTGCTTTACCCACTTGCTTTCGACAGTGCATCAGGACAAGACTTAAATGTTTAGTTGTAAATAGAATTGCACTATGTCACGTGGCCGGACAGTTGCGAGACAGGCAAACATTAGCTTGTAACTTGACAAGAAGCTGGAAAGATCGGTCATCGCATCCTTATGAGACAAG